TGTCCATAAAGCCTTTCCTGTTGAACTGCTGAACCCTCCCTGCAGAATCCAATAGCTTTCCATCAGCTTTTAAAGGCTTTCTATCACAGTCTAAAGAGATTTAGATGTTTCTCAAGGATTTCACAATGCCTCAAATTGTGTCTCTCAGGAGCTTTAGATTGAAAGGGAGGGGAAAAAACACATAGAGGAGACTGACTGATGACAGGAACAGTACCGTCAGAGGAAAGCGAAGAGGAAATATCAGTGCACTGGTTGGTGTGTAGACATTTTCTTTGCAATCTTGAATTGGTTTGACCCTGACCTCTCAAGGCTAACAGCTGTACAGCAGTTAAAATGATCCCTCACTTATCTGTCCCATAGTGTACCTCTTGTCATGCTTTAGTGTGTGTGTGTGTGTGTGTGTGTGTGTGTGTGTGTATTTCACTAAAGCTGTATTTGCACTTTGATGTATGTATGGAGAAACATCTGCATTCATATGCTGACATCTGTATGTATACAGATGCTGTGTGAATACGACTGTGAATTTTGTGTGTGTGTGGTGTGTGTGTGTGTGTGTGTGTGTGTGTGTGTGTGTGCGCAGGGAGTCAAGGCCTTGGTGCGACATGTTGACAGCCACGTGATGCCAGCTGGGCATTACGATGTAGGTATCACGTATCAGGGCACCGACCCCATCACATTGACAACTTTACAACAGTCGTCAACTGGTCGACACAGCAACCGCGACCGCTAATATTAGAACATTTTTAAGAGAGGTCACAGAACACCAATAACGACAGCTGTCAATCAAGGGGAAAAAAAGATGGCTGTGTGTGTGTGTGCGTGGAGGAACGAGCAAAAGAAAGAGAAAATAGAGAATGAGAGTGGCAAAGAGAACAGACACGATAAGAACAAAGAGAAATAGAAAGTCAGAGGAGATAAAAAAAGGAAAGTCTGGGCTACAACCTGAGGTCATCAGCTGGTTTTAAACCTAAATCCCTCTAATCAGCTTCAGCAGACAGGGGAGACAGACCAATCCATTTGCCCGGAGATCCCATTATGACAGGAGAAAGGAATGGAAAAGGTAGCAAATTGAACACACTGGGAAAATAGCTGTGTGTGTGTGTGTGTGTGTGTGTGTGTGTGTGTGTGTGTGTGTGTGCGTGTGTGTGTGTGTGTAAGTGTGCCTCTCAGCTTCTGGGTGCATGATCGTATTGTGTTCAAACAGGTGTCAAAAACAATGGAAGCAGATGAGGCAGGAGTAGTAATGAGTCATTAGTGTTGAGATTTGCCTCCAAGATGAAGAAGTGTGAGTTGCAAGTGTAAATGTGTGGTGTGTGTGTGTGTGTGTGTCTGTGTGTGTGGCAGAAAGAGAGAGTGAGACAAAATGAGTGACAAACAGCCTCCGAGTCTTTGTGGGTCCTCAGTTCAAACTCGTGTCACAATTTAACCAATTCATTTCCTTGATTTCCCTCAGAGAAATCAGAGATTTCTTGAAGTGAAGGGACAGGAAAAGATCACTCTGTAATTCCCCCAACACTCCTCCTCCTCCTCCTGTGTCATTCTTCCTCTGCCCCACCTTCACCTCGGCCTCCCCCCCGACATGCGCTCTCTCACTTTGTACGTTTGAGTGCCTCCATTGCCCCCTCTCCTCCCCACCTTCACCTCGGCCTCCCCCCCGACATGCGCTCTCTCACTTTGTACGTTTGAGTGCCTCCATTGCCCCCTCTCCTCCCCCCCCCCCCCCCCCCCCCCCCCCCCCCCTTCCCCCCTCCCCCCCCCCCCCCCCCGCCCCCCCCCCCCCCCCCCCCCCCCCCCCCCTTGCCTGGGGTGGGTGCTCCCGTCCCCCCCCCCCCCCCCCCCCCCCCCCCCCCCCCCCTTCAGGGGAGCTGTGTACTTAGGTGCAATTGAAAACGACTATCAAACCCCGAGGAGCGAAACCTGATTCAGAGACTCCTTATCCGGTAGCACAGCCCCTCTCCAAGTGCTGTGCTGCTCTTCCCCAGCGACCGACTAAATGAAATTATGTCTTTTTATCCATTCAGGTGGGAACGCAGCCAGATGAAACCCGCAAAGTAAAGAACAATCTGAATTGCGAGTGACATTCTTCACTGTAGTTAAGGCCCTCAGGGAGTGGAAGTGACACGTGTGGCTCTTCCAAAGTGGATGTTTACTGCTTGACTCGTTTGATGAGCAAATAAAATGTCGATGTGCTGACAATGTAGTTGAGGCATATACACAGTATTTTCTCACACTGAGGAGGGTGGTGCTGTAAAACTGTGAGTATGTATGTGGCAACCACACATGTATTTAGTGCTGGGCGATATGGTTTATAAATAATATTGCAATGTTTTTAGGCTATATTGCCATACACAATATATATCTTGATATTTGAAAGCACCTCTAAACTATTGTAGACTACTACATTTCTAAACTACTAAATAAACTACAGTTACAATGAAGTTAAATAAAGTACTGTTATAATAAAGCTGAATAAAATACTGGTTTATTAAGACTAAAATAATGTTATAATAAAATTCTATAAAATACTGTTACAATAAAGTTAAATAAAATACTGATATAATAAGATTAAAGTGTTACAAAAAAGTTAATAAAATACTGTTACAATAAAGTTAAATAAAGTAATTTACCAATAAAGTTAAATAAAGAACTGTTATAATAAGATTAAAGTAGTATTACAATAAAGTTAAATAAAGTAGTTATAAGATTAAAGTAGTGTTATAATAAAGTTAAATAAAGCACTGTTACAATAAGATTATAGTGTTACAATAAAGTTAAATAAAGTAATTTACCAATAAAGTTAAATAAAGCACTGTTACAATAAGATTAAAGTGTTACAATAAAGTTAAATAAAGTAATTTACCAATAAAGTTAAATAAAGTACTGTTACAATAAGATTAAAGTGTTAGAATAAAGTTAAATAAAGTACTGATATAATAAGATTAAAGTGTTACAAAAAAGTTAATGAAATACTGTTACAATAAAGTTAAATAAAGTAATTTACCAATAAAGTTAAATAAAGAACTGTTATAAGATTAAAGTAGTATTACAATAAAGTTAAATAAAGTAGTTATAAGATTAAAGTAGTGTTATAATGAAGTTAAATAAAGCACTGTTATAATAACGTTCAATTAAATAGTTACAATAAAGTTAAATAAAGTAATTTACCAATAAAGTTAAATAAAGTACTGATATAATAAGATTAAAGTAGTGTTATAATAAGTTAAATAAAGTAGTTAAAGTAGTGTTATAAAAAAGTTCGATACAATACTGTAACAATAGTTCAATAAAGTACTGCAATAATAAAGTTATATAAATTATTGTTATAATAAATAAAACCATTGGTGCTTTTATTCTGACACTCTTGTCTCAGGCTGGAAGTGTTGATGTTTCTGCTGTGAAGTTGAAGCTTCCAGTCAACACTCAGACGCTAACAGTTAGCAGAGAGTTAAACTGTTACTGTGGTGCTGTTCAGTGTGAGGATTTATTCACTGTGAGCGGGAAACAAACTAACAGCTCTACAGTTTGTATATGAATAACATTTATATATATGTATATCTGCGGTCTGGAGCCCTGCTGAGTCAAAAACACACGCCTGCTCACACACTGCCAGGGAGAGAGTGGTGTGGATGGGCGGGGGAGTGTGTGTGTGACGTCTCATGTTTGTGATGCATAGGAGAGAGTGAAATGAGTCTCATGGCTACAAAATATGATGTTAAAGTTTATATATGATGTTCATGTTATAACCATTTTAAACATCCCACATGGAACAAGCCACAATACCTCAAGTATAATTGATATCCCGCCCACCACTATTGTATTCGTGTGTATTTATTGTGTATCCACATCTGTTTGGATCACTAGCATTGCTGGGAGCCTCTGACCTCATAAAGTCGGCCTTGCTCATCAGAGCGTCCTTAATTGAGGCAGTAATCTGTTTAACTGCCCAAAATAAGGTTGTAGTGATTTTACTAGGTCTCCTCTTTCCTGCAAGCACATTCACTTTACTTCAGGTTTCAACACAGTGCATGTATGTGCTAATGAAAAGGAACATGCCGGTATTTTACAGTCATCTGGAAGAGAAGCAGACGATCCACTCTCAGTAATTATCCTCATTATTTCCTGCAAAGCTCAGGTACAGTAGGAGAGCGGAAGAATGTGGGCTAAACCTCTGCAGTCTCTGAGTTTTCCTCATGCAACTCTTGCAATTCAAATTGGCTCTCTGGGGACATTTAAGTCTAAGTTTAAACTTTTGGATCGGCGTTACCTCGTTGCAGCAGAGCTTTCAAGCAACTGTCACTCAAAACAAGATTCGGGCTATTCCCCTGATTTCCCCCTGTGAAATTCAACCCGCAATTTTTTTGCAAATTGTGAAACAATGCTTTATATTTCTGAAAACATGTTGGAAAAATGTTTCAAGATGAATCACTTTATGCTGCCCTTTAATTTGGTAATTTATTAAACATGGCCCTTTCTTGAATTGAGGTTAAATCATCCTATTTTTGCTGCTGTGATTAAATCCAATCCATGGTTTGTCTCAGTTACACACTAAATTAAAATTTAGGACTATCCCTGTTGGAATAGGTGTTTACAGTTATTTTAGTTTTGAGATATTTTCTGCTTTACGCATAACACCAGTTACACAAAAAGCTATTTAACAAACCCTGCTGAAAGGGTTCGACTACATTTCTATTCCACACACCCGTCACCCACTGACTGCAGACTGTGAGAGTGCACGCACCCATCAAACTTCTGCTGTCTGTCATTCACAGTTCCAGGCAATTTCAAAAAGTGTCACATCTGTAACCACTGACTTTTCTGTGGCACTTCCGACTTATTTCCACTTGATGATTCATACTTTTACATCTTTTTTACATCCTGTGTTGTCATCACGCTGGCATCCCGCCTCTTCAGTCGCTCTGTTCTAGAAGTCCTCTCTTAATCTCACGTCTCGTTTTACACTCACCTCAGGTGGAGGTTAATAATAACAACGCTGCACGTACCTCGGCAGCTGGTATGCCCTCCGGAGGGCGACACTGTAAGAGCACTTCCTGCTCCAGAGATACTTCCTTTCCCAGGGGTTCCTGTTCAAATGACTTCTTCAGGTCTGAGGAGAGAGAGACAAAGAGAGGAACTTAATGACAACTGCAGGACAGACAGCATATGACCAAATCAGTGTAGAAAATATATTATAATGATACTCAGTATCATATTGCTTTGACTGAAGTGATAGGGTTTGATATGGTGGTGAAACCTCTGCTAAGGTCGCCAGTGAAAAAAAACTCATGTCATACACTAATCCAGTGAAAACAACAGTCAACAAAGGTAGAGACCCTACATTTAAATGAGAAAACAACTGGTAATTTTAAAGGGGATTTATTATGCTCATTTTCAGGTTCATACTTGTACTTTGGGTTTCTACTAGATCATGTTTACATCATTTGATGTTCAAAAAACACTTTATTTTCTTCATACTGTCTGTGCTGGAAGACAGCCTCTGTCGGAAATGCTCCATTTTAGCACCTGTCTCTAAGCGGCCCTCACGAAAAAGGACAGTCTATAAAGAAGAATTCAGCTGCGAGATGTTTTAACCAAAACCAAGAGACATGATCATATCACTCCAGTTTTAGCCTCTTCTCTGGCTCCCAGTATGTTTTAGAATGGATTTAAATATTTTTCGGATTACCTTTAAGGCTTTTTACCGTCTCTTTCCTTGATATGTTTCCAACACATTCTCACTCCGACCTTGTCACATACTGACATTTTGGTCATGGACTTTCCAGGTTTTTTTTTTTTCCTTCAACAACAAAAACACGTGGTTAGGTTTAGCAAAAAAGAAGAGGGAATGGCTTTATAATCTTACAGGACGTGAACACCACTCGCTCGGGTGAGAGTCAGTGTTTGTTGGACCCATCCACCACCTCTCCCGCACGCCCCACTTGGGCTTACGCTGCCTTAACTTTCTTCCTTGTCCTGCCGCGTTCCACCCTGATGCCACCGGGTGCTGTTAAACTATGACTTCAACCAGCTGCGTATCATGCTGATGTTAAAGGATGCCTTTTTTCGTTGGTTTCTGACACTGCCAGTCACTGGCCAAGCGCCAGACTTCAACGAGTTCGTGAGAGTGCTCATATTTCTGACCTCTTAGTGCCGTACACGCCAGAATGTACTTTAAAGTCCTGGGGCAGAGGTCTTTTGTCTGTTCCAGAGGCCCAGCTGAAAACTAAAGGGGACAGAGCGTTTGCTGTCAGGGCCCCGAGGCTCTGGAACAGTCTGCCTGAGGAAATCAGCCGAGTCAGTGATCTCTTTTAAATCCCATCTAGAAACATACTTTGATTGGAGAGCTATTTAAATTTCCTCTGTTTTTATACATTAAAGTGTTTTTCTCAGTTCTTTTAAAAGTTGTTTTCATGTCTTGTCTGTTTTAATTACTGATATGTAAAGCACTTTGTAAGTGCAGGTATATAATCCAAAATGAGGGAGAAATGAACAACCTCGGAAACCAAGCTTACACGTTTTCCTGATGTTAGCATGAAGCTACATGTAGCAGTACAGACTACGTAATGTAAGCACTTGCAGTAGTGTGCCTGACGCAGATGTCAGCTTGTCTTGAAAGTAGAAAAAACTGTTTTAAACAAGAGTATTCAGAAGTTTTTGCTTTCAGGGATTACTTTTACACAAGTTTACTTTATTATTTTGAACTCTGGGAAATAAGGGGAAGCATACTAGGTCCCGTTTAATCTCTAATCAGGACAACCCTGTAAACACAACATAACACTAAGAATTCTATCAAAAGCAAAAGTCTCAATGGGAAGCAGAGTTGTGTGGGAGGCCATTTTGCGAAAGCATCCTCTGATTCAGCAGTCAGGGAACCCATTTAGGAGATGGTGCCGTGTCATTGTAAACTGGGCTCATTGCCTCATTTCCGCGGCAACAATGACACGGTAATTATGGAGTTGGTGGTTGAAGTCAGCCATGCATATGTTGACTTCTCCCACTCTGCTGTCACTTTAGAAATGTACACAGCAAGGGAAAACACTTAGCTGTATATTCTTAGAGTCAAGTAATGCTCACACAGGGGTGTGCACACAGAGACACACGTTTACAATTTTATTCACACACACATACACCGCTCATCAGGCTTTTAAGTGCTTTAACCGCTTCATACGCTAAACACAGGCTGCTTTGTTGCATGCTCGCCCCTCAATCACTATGCACAATATCTGAACCTTGCATTCACTCCATATAGACTCGCCAGAGTTTGGGATTCTCGAGCAGGCCAAAGACAATAAATGATTCACACTAATGGTCCACATGCTGTGATAAATGACAGCATTACAAAGCAGCGTGGAATGCACTGCCATTTCTTCCACACAACGTTTCAGAGAGGGCTCAGCTGTTTTCATTTTCAGGGGGGAAAAAAGCTCACAGTAGCAGACTTTAAGACAATTAGCGAGACATTTAAATAAGAACAACAGAAGACGGGAAGACAAAACAAAGGAGGATGGAGAGAAGGCGTTGAAGGACGTGAATGAAAACACAAAAAAACATTGTGGGTGGATGGATGAATGGATGGATGGAAGGACAGTTTTGTTTAACCGATCTTTATGCCAAATACATTTTTCTCTCCATCTTTGTTTCCCATCACTGTCACTTGTCTCCGCATAGTTCTGCACAAAAGACAAAATTTCATTCACTGAGAGAGTTCAAAAGGGGTAACCACTCTTTGGCTGCTGTTGAGTCTTCTTGTCTTTCTGAATGAGTGTCTTTCACTTCACTATAAACTCCCTGCCTGGGGCTACCCCTGACACTGAAATGCCCCATAGTCACTCATAGCCTTCACTTTGCCATTCACCTATTGACTCTGCTGCCAATACGGCGCACGGTATACATGTATCCATACATTGGCAGCTGAGCTCAACACATGTTAAAATAATTAGCCCGCCGTAAAAAAGGCCATAAAATAAATTGTAACCTGAGAGGAGTGGCAGTGTTGCGGGACTTAGCAGGTGACTTTATTTATGGTGCTGATCTGATGGTGTGATGGGTTTCTAAATAAGAACATATGGAGGGGATGGAGTTTTATTCAGCTTCTGGGTGTAACTTAAACGTTTATGAGTATACAAGGAGTGTATGGACTCAATATGATCTGTATGGAAGGGTCGGCTAGACTGCCCTTTCTAAGCATTCAGATTTTGAAGTCTAAAGACTAGAGTTCCTGGAGCCGACTAAAACTTCTCAGAGACACAAATGGGCCAGGGTACACACACATGCGGTGGCGAATGTGTCATATGCAGAAAAAACACTCATTGAGGATGTTCCTGCATGTACTGAAAAGCAAGTGAATGATGAATTTGCACATATCCCAAATGAGGATATGTGAGGATGATTAATTACACAGGCTACACATCTGCAGATACATGATGTGTGTATTTGAAGGTGGTATCCAGAGGTGTGTCCATATGGCAGCATCACCAATATCTCTGAGATATTAATACCAAAACTTTTTCACTTTCAAGAGTTTGAGAGTCACTTTGTTAGTCTGTAAAGGATGGCTGCAGCTGTGGAAGACAAATCTTCTCTCCCTTGTCCTTTAGTTTTTAAAACGATACAGGAAACTTTCATAGGAGGGCACAGCGTGTGTGTGTGTGTGTGTGTTATCCCTGTGTCCTTTTACACTCCTGGTTCCCAGGTGTGCTCTTAATCACCTTATCCGTCAGCTATGGTACACCATTTGTGGACACACACAGACACAAACACACACACACTAGATAGAACATTTTTTAATGCTGAACCGAACGACTTGGAGTCACTCTCTGGGTATTTCATCAGGACAGTCACCTTACAGCAGCTTACAGTACGGGCATAGAAGGAGGGAGAGTGAAAGAGAAGGAGAGGTAAAATGGGATGGAGAGAGGGGGGTGGAGGTGGGGGGTAGAAGTACGGGCAGCAGGTGGGGGGGTTGAAAGATGAGAGGTAGAAAGAGAGAGGAGGAAGGAGGGAGAAGTTGGCAGCACACAGCAGGACCACCGAACTCTTTCTTAATACCAAAACCACCTGCTTAGTCTTTACCTATCAGAGGCTTTTTCATGTCCGGCACACTCTCTATATCAAACCATTCAATAGCAGCTCCTGTCAGTGAATCCACCTTGTATCATCTGTATTTATCTGCCTCATCTCTCTCAAAACCCACAAGCAATCCATCAAACCTCCCAGCCATCAATCTGGCTTTGATTACATCTCCTTTATCAAGATCCCAATCTGACAAAGACAAGGGGAGAGATGATACGTGTCTATGCTTACAGAAGTATAAAGAACTTTTAATCCAGCCGTTTAAAAAAATAATTTACACATGCAAGTTTTATCATGTTGAATTCTTTGAATTTGTAATCATGAACCACTCTCAACCCCGTTCACACGGACTCAAATAGTGGAGAAGCGAACAGGGCTGTTGTGAGTAGATAAATGTCTGAGCGATGAGTGGAAACTGTTTAATATCCCAACAGAGAAAGCCTCCACTTTAGCTCAAAGTCCAAAATTAGCCATTTGTGTGTTGGGATTTTCATAGAGAGGAAGATAGTTGCACACAGAAACTTCCAAGAAAGTAATGTCTGTTTTAAGGTGAGACAGCTCACACTGTAACTGTGTGTTTATGGCTGCTAAATTAATAGTGCAAAGGTTTGTCAGGCTCTGTAATCAATGCTTTGAAATGCACATCAAACTGATCACCAGGGTGTGACGTGGTGAGAGTTGACAGATGTGGCTTTGACTATAAAATGCATCATGTAGAAAATAACAAACAAGTGTGCAGTCTCCTCTTTGTAAAAAAAAAAAACAGTAACCTTGTACCTGATCATTTATATAAAGACAGACACTTTATTGAAGGTAACTTTTTGCCTGTATACACTGCAAGCATCTGAAATATGACATCTGGCATGTACTGAGCATCAGGTATGTTTTGATGGTGAGCACGGCTGCACATCCGTGATGTGAATCTCCCGTTCCACCACATCCCAAAGGTGCTCTATTGGATTGAGATCTGGTGACTGTGGAGGCCATTGGAGTACAGTGAACTCATTGTCACGTTCAAGAAACCAGTTTGAGATG